ATGAAGGTACATTAAAGCTACGATAAGTCTATGATATTAATAGACTTAAAATAATTTGCTAACTACAGACAGTTCCCTAAGCAATTACAAGATGTTCTATGTTAATTTAGAAAGGAATTCTAAACAAGGCATTTAAAACCTAATAAGATGCCATTAAATGGAGGGAGACAGGGGAGGGGGAAAGGGAAAGAAAACCCTAAGGCTTGAACAAGTAGAAATGATTCTCAGAGCTACTGACCCTTGCGAGAACCATGTTTTCCTTGGGTTTCTAGACACAAAGCAGATTTCTAATTGAAGGTGATTATCTAGTTACTATATCCAAAATTGCATATATTTCTTGTATTGCTTCACGTCAAATAATTATATGGAGCATTTATTAATCTGATAGTCCACAGAAACAGTAGAGTCAATCTACCAACTTCTTACAACGAGAACGTGTTCTGTAAACTATGAGGCACTATAGAACATGATGACAGTCTGACTCCCAGTACTCATATAGACCTATGAGCTGAATTATGATATTAATCAACTGGGAATAAAGTTTACAAAAAGATCACAGAAGAAAAAGCACCTGGCTTGCTTTGCTCTTGTCTTTCTGAGGTGTGGACACCAATACGAATGCCTGCTATTCTGTAGAAATATACACATTGATATAGTCGCCATCACCACGGGAAAAAAAGAATAGCAACATATAATTCTAAAAACCAAAAGACAAATTCCTATACAGCCAATTTTATCTCCGTAAACTTGACTTGGTAGCAAGATGCCTCAACCAAAGGTAGATAGCTTGATTAAGGCAACATAACAGTAGAGAAACACACAGACTTCTGCATACCACAAATGTGCCTCTGTAAAATATAGTTCCCATTAGTTAGGTTAATTAAGATTAACATACAAGTCATTGAAAACCCCCAAAGTAGACAAAAGATAATTTACCAAGGAAAGACACAAAGACAAGAAGAGCATTCACTCGGAGTCATTCATTTAACAGATTGGAAGGAGGTTCCTTATTAACACTTGAGTTGTTGCCACTCATAACAAATGACATGCATCAGAATAGCTTACAAAGGCCAAAGGACAACTTGCTTTCTCAGAAAACTTCTATGAACAATACAGGGTGGCACACATCCATTCATAAGGATGTGAACCTAATCACATATTATAATTGCTATTAAACAGCTTAAATACACACACACACACAGTTTAACTGAGGTAAATAACAAACTAACATTCATCTTGAGAATCCTGGTTTGGCATTTTTCATTGATTTGACAGAGAGTTTTCACCCAAAATAATAACATGCATTCCAAATCAAATATATCACAAAGAAGCACCCAGAGCAAAACATTAACACTGACATATGCGATGGAAAGAGCTGTATTCCAGTGCTCAACTCAGACCGCAATTGTCTGAAATCTACCATTGCTGAAAAAGCATTCCCACCCTTACCTCAAGGGTCATGTTCACGGTACTAATGGCCACTTTTATTTCTCCATCTGACAGTTCCTTTAGATCTTTTAATATTGTCTGTTCAATACTGAGACCTGTGGACAAGAGGAAAAAACACTATATTTTACTTAGGGAATTTTTTTTTGGTAAAGTCAACGGATAATATCAATTCTTCAAATTCACCCTGTTAACTTCAATATTTTCCCCTTTAATATCACTTTTATCCACAATAAACACACACACAGAGGTGATAATCACATTAGTGACAATGTCTGCATCAGTTAGGATCCCAACAGAAAAGAGAATGCACCCATCTTGATGCAAAAGAAGACTCTTTAATGGCAGGACCCTTACAGAGCTATGGGCAGTGCTGAGAAAGTGAATGAAAGATGGTGAGGCACCCAGAGACTAGCAAAGGGACAAGGGAAGGAAGCAGAGATCTGGAGCCAGAGAAGACTGGCTGCCAGTGACGGGGCACCAAAGCAGCAAGGGACAGGGGCGGATAGACTACAGCCTCCTTTTTCTTCCCTCCACCCCACTTGTTACCAACTCTTCCTACTGGCCAAACCCTACTAGAAGCCAGTGTCAAGGGAGCCCAGAAGATTAAGTACTCAGGGTTCAGCCGCTGGAGGCCCAGAGCAGACAAGGGCAGGGAAGGAATGGGTGCAGATGGGCAAATAAAGAAAAACTAGCAAAACCATGCAAACCAGTCAGATAGCACCAAACAACTCCAAGTTTGCTTTCAGAATGCATTTAGGTGAGTTCTTACGTTTTCTAGTATAAATTTATTCAAAATGAACTTTATAAGTGTGACCCATAAAACTATCATAATTAAGTTGGCCACCCTCGCATTAGGAGTTACTGATTCCTTAGTTGATGGAGGAATAATCCAGAATGGCTAAACTATCCAGAACTGCATAGTCGTAGTCAGTTGACCAGTGTGTTTCAGTGAAATCTATCATTTGATTCTCACAACGCTATTACGTCAGATCGGGAGCACCCTCTTGGGAAGAAGATCTATAATAAAGCTTAGTGATGTACAAGTGTCTTTCCCAGATATATGCTAAGATATCGGAGTTGATTGTCCGCCCTGCCGACTTAGAACACTCTGTCAATCATAGCAGCAGGGGAAAGAACAGGGACTAAATACTTTGCTTTGACTCAAAGATTGAAAGGCTATAATCTTTCACACTACAGCATAAAATGATTTATAGAAGATACTATAACACAAAAGTTTGGTATAGGTTTGAAAACAAGTGACAAGACACATGCCATCATGCAGCTGTCTATGTACCCAACGTACCTCCACACTGCACCGGTGACAGAGGGTGTAGCTGATGCTGGCAGGGTCCCACCCACGTTTCTCATTGCACCCAGTCTGATGCTCAGCCACCAGCACCTGCATCTCTTCCTGAGGGAATTCCTACTCTGGGAATTACCTGATACTGAGTAGTCCTCACTACTCCTGTGGTCTGCTGATAAATAAATGTTAACCACCAGCAACAAAACCTGATTTGTCCTACTCTGGGAATTACCTGATACTGAGTAGTCCTCACTACTCCTGTGGTCTGCTGATAAATGTTAACCACCAGCAACAAAACCTGATTTCCAGTGTTTGTCAATTTCTGTGGTGTAAATATTCCTAATATTCATGGCTGATCTCAAGCTACAATCCGACATCAACCAACTCACAAAATTTCTGAAAATTTAACCATCAGCTCCTGGAGCCTGGGTGAGCAAGCTCCTGCACACCACTGCTCCCCTCGGGTGGGATAACCCTCAGGTGCAATTTTACAGTCTTTTCCAGGGTTCCCAAGTGGGATTAAGATCTGGTTTCCCACTGAGTTAACTTGCTTGATAAAGCACTCCATTCCTCTATCAGTGTTGCCTGGGATCACCTCCCAAATAAACTGCTTTGCCTTAGGCTCTGCCCCTGGGGGATCCCAAACCAAGGGAGAAAGCTCTGTAATTTAGTGTTTGCATCTTAAAGATAGATGGTCTGGGTTTAAATCCTGGCCTGAACACTTGGCAGCTATGTGTGTTTGATGAAGGAAAAACAAAAAAGTCTTTCTGTGCCTCAGTGTTCTCATCTGGAAATTGGGGATAATAAAGCACCTGAATTTTAGGGTTGTCATGAAGATTCAATAAAATAATCCTTGTAAAGTTACACCATCAGAACCTCACATATTCTAGGTATTCAAGAAATTAGAGCTCTTTATTGTTATAAAAAGTTGATCCAGGAAATTCACTGTTTTGATAAAGCCTAGACTTAGAGAAAACTTTCATCATCTTAGCCATCTTCTTTCTCATTTCTTTCTAAAATTAATTGATTTATGAAATCCCATTGTGCTTGACATTGCTCCTGCCATATTCTCAAAGAACCTTGTCAGCACAGGGATTGCATGTCATGAAGCATCTGGGGTGTGCATTAGACACGTGAATTAACCACACACTCAGACACGAAGGCCTCAAAGGAGAGGCTTACGGTAAAGGCTGCCTCTTTCCAGGTGAGCCAACGTTATGTGCCTGAAAATCTTCCATAAGCATAAGCCATAGAGAAGAAAGTGAACACACACCCAAATTCACCTTCTGGGGCCTGACAACTCTCTGTTTCACAAATCATCCCTACTTGGGAGCAGCGAGAGAGCTGGGGACAGTCACTCACCCTGAGCATTGAATTGGGTCTCCTGCAGGATGTTGATGATGTCCTCCCTTGGAGGCAAGTTAGGAAATTTTTCTTCCAGGATAGACAGAATTTCCTCCTGCTTCTCTGAGATCTTCTCTGATTCCATGGTCATCCACTTGAAAAGGATACTACCTGAAAGGCATGAATAAAAATGCTCTTAAACTTTCCAGCCAAGCCAGGACAGAGGCCAGGAAAACCAATGTCTTCTGGCCTCTGATCTAAGCTCTCCCTTCCCGTTTCTTGCCTGAACCAGGAGACTCCACAGCACAATATTCAAGAGAAAATTTTTGGAAAACCCTCATATACCATCTTCCCAGCCTTATTATTTTCCAGGTATTAATCTCTACATGTTAACTGACTCTAACACACTCTGTAGCACGGAGTTTATGGATAAAAAAACAAAACGTTGTGCTTTCCTCCACTCCACACAAACACAAAAATGATGTATGTTGGTTTTAAGTGATTTCAGAATGGAAGTTCTTGGTAAACTATTTAAAAACTTAGTCAAGATTATTCCTCTTAAGGAACCACAGAGAATATTGTTCCCAGCCCTCACATCATTCATTTTATGTACAAACGTCCTCCTTTTCACAACTAAATGATTGTATAATCACACAGTAGCTAAGGAATCTGACCAGGTGGTTAACCTGAAGTCCGTTTCTGATCTTCCAAGCATCATACATAGTTTTAAAGTAATTTACTAGTATCTAATCATAAGGATTCACAAGCTGGGTCTAAATCACAGGTTTAGATTTCCAAGTCATTTGCCCATGTGAAAGACCTCTCACAAACTCTTAAAATCTCTATGGATAGCCTCACATTGGAAGGGAGGAGTTATATCTCCTTCCTTTGCATCCCTAGCCCAGACTTACACGAGGTCACAAGGGGAGAGAGAATTTTTGCTTAATGATTAAACTCTCTAAAAATCCCCAAATCTATTTATTAATCAAGGCACTACCATCTCTCTAGTTTTCAGTGTACCCTTAATGCCAGTCACAGGGGAGGGAAAACAGAAAATAAATAAAGAAGGAGGGAAGAATGTAAAAGGGGAAATGAGAAATAAGGTATTTAGTGAGGAAAAACTATGGTACTCAATCCATACACTGAGATCTACAGAACCTAGAGATGAGGTCTACATTTGCCATTAAACATGTGGGAAAGCCCCAATCAAGTCATCTGGCCTCTCTGTACTGATTTGCCATTTTTAAAACAGAAATAATACTGCTTTTCCAGCTCACACAGTTATACCGAGAATCAAATAAATATAAACATCATAATGAAAAGTAAATATTGTCAAATATATTTAAAACATCTTATTCATTCATTAGTTCAGCAAAGAATTACTGAGCACCTACTATGGGCCAGGCACTGTGCTAGATGCTAATGATTCAATACTGAAATAGAGATAACCTTGCCCTTTGAAGCTCATAGTAGCTTAGGTGCTACAGACTATATATTATTTGCAAGAGTGCACCTTAAATATAATGATATTGAAAAGTTGAAAGTAAAATGATAGAAAAAGATATAACATGCAAACACCAACCACAAGAAGTTGGTGTAATAGATTAAGACAAATATTTCCTTACTGTTAAAGGGTTAATCTTCAGGAAGATACATCAATTCTAAATTTGCATGCACTAATAACATAGCTTCTAAATATAGAATATAGAAAGCAAAAATTGACAAAGCTAGATGAAGAAATAGAAAAATACACAGTCACAGAGGGAAATTTTAACTCATCTCTCTCAGCAACTTTAAGAACCAGCATGAAAAAATATGCAAAGATACAGAATACTTGAGCAACATGAGTAACAAATTTGGCTTTTATTAAACATTGCTATCAACAATGGCAGACTGTACTTTCTTGTCTACCACAAATGAAAAGTTTACCAAAATCAACCATCTGTTGAGACAACATGAGTAACAAATTTGGCTTTTATTAAACATTGCTATCAACAATGGCAGACTGTACTTCCTTGTCTACCACAAATGAAAAGTTTACCAAAATCAACCATCTGTTGAGACATAAATCAAGTCTTAAAAAATTTCAAATGATTGCAATCATAGTTATATTTTGTGCCCACATGAAAACAGTCTAAAAATCAATAATAAAACAAAAACTAGAAAATTCCCAAATTTTTGAAAATTAATGCATTTCTAAATAATTCATGGTAAAAGAAATCACAATATAAATTAGAATATACTTTCAATTGAATAATTATAAAAATATGAAATTTAAAATCATGAGACTCAATTAAACTTGTGCTCTGAGGAAATTTTATAGCCTTAAAACCAGAAGATATTTTTTTTAAAGTCAGTAATTTCAACTAAAAATGTAGAAGAAGGAATATAATAAAGAACTCAATTAAACTTGTGCTCTGAGGAAATTTTATAGCCTTAAAACCAGAAGATATTTTTTTTTAAAGTCAGTAATTTCAACTAAAAATGTAGAAGAAGGAATATAATAAAGATAAGAGCAAAAGTTAAAGAAACAGAAAACAAACACGTTAAAGAAATCAATAAAACAAAAAGTTCATTCCCAGAAAAGACTAATATAACTACAGATTGTACCAACTTTAAAAGATAAGAACAAATTTACTTGACTAGGTTTTAAAATTTACAAGTGAACTTCACTAGGAAAATCGGCAAGAAAAAATTTAGGAATATAAACAGTCTACATCTATTTAAAAATAAATCCATAGTTTCAAATCTATAGTTTTAAACATTTAAGAAAGAAATATATGAATTTTACTCAAATTCTTCCAAAGAATATAAAAACAGAGAACATTTCCCAACTTATTTTATGAATCTAGCATGATTTTGATACCAATACCTAATAAGGACATTATAAGAATTAAAGGCAAGTGTCTCTCATAAACACAGATGCAAAATAATTTTAAAAATGAGTCCCAAATCAAATTCTATAAGGATATTGTACAGTTACCAATAGGGCTCTCTCAGGAATCGAAGGACAGATTAACATTCAACAAATGATCAATATAATTCACCATATTAATGGAATAAAGGAGAAAAACCATATAATAGCTGCAATAAATAGATGATAAATAGTAAAACTACTTCATAAAATCCAAAATTTAATCATTATATAAAATCTCAGCCAAGTAGAAATACAAGACAACTTCCTTAATTTGATGAATGGCATTTATAAAAACCAAATAAAAAAAGCAAAAATTATCGTTAACTGAAATATTGAGACTTATTCAACCCTTCATTGTGAATCCTAGCCAAAGGGCAGCAAGGCAAGCAAACGAAGTAAAAAAGGTAAAGATTTTCCTTGCAGATGATATGTCTGTGTATGTAAAAAACTTAAAGAATCTACAGAGCTTGGAATAGTAAGTAAATTTAGCAAGTCTGCTGCATAAATTGTTAATAATATAAAATTGACTGTATTTCTTTAAGTAACCACAAATAATTGAAATCAAACGTAAAATTATGAAAAAACTGCATCAGTATCAAAATATAAAATACTTAGAAATAAATTTCACAAAAATGTGACTGGCTTATGGTCAAACCAAGAATCCATTTTCCTTGATTTGGGGACCTAATTTTTAAAATACAAAATAGAAAGGCAGTATTCAGAAATGAATCTAACAGATACTGCATTAAACAGAGTCCTACAGGATAATTCAGTGAAAAGAGACTTCCGACATTTGCTTATGATGAAGTTTGACATGACAATTACAAAGGACGTGACATACCGACATCAGTAGCAAAAACTAACTCAAAAATATGTTCACCATCTCTTTTTCAAAAAAGTTGTTTTTACTGCATAAGAAAGGCTATGGCCCAACTTCACCCCAGGGACTTGTCTATGGCAAATTTTTCTACTTCACATTAGAAATCCATTTATTACATACTTAACTAAATATCAGTATCAGGATATACAGCAGCCAAAGACCTCTTTCAGCAAATTCAAACCTGTTTTTGTAGTGAGCATTGACTTAACTTCCAGCAAATTCTGCAGAACAAAAGAAATACTTAAATCCATAAACTCCTATGCCAAAAGTTCCAGCTACTCATAGGTGAGGGGTGGGGGTGGGGGGTGATTAACATCAAACAACAACACAAGCAATTATCCTCATAGTAACAAAACACTTCAATCCATTAGAAAAAAAATCAACCACAGTATTCTTTGTTCAAAAGAATGGGGTAGAGAAAGACCTCTTGCCAAAAGCAACTGCAGTACATTAATATTAAACACGACCTAATGAAGTCAGAAGTTGTTTGGGGAAAACACTCAGCACGGTAAAGGCATATTCTGCATGATAAACTCTTAGCAGAAAAGAAGGGATTTAAACCTCTTTTCTTCTTTCACATGGGACTGATTTTTTTCATACTGAAACAAAAAATTAAAAAATGATAACAGAGAGAGAGAGAGAGGGAGGGAGGGGGAAAAGAGAAGAAAAGAGAAAAAGGCTAGAAATACAACTTAGCTCATATTTTGTATGAAAAGGTATAAAAAGAAGCATACTATTTAAGTGCTTCCTATTTTTGTAAATCTGAAATGTCTCAATTTAAGAACAAAGTTTATCTTATATGGCAGAAGAAATAACACTCTAAGGCTGAAGAATAGTTTCTGTTTTATATCTTTCAGAAACAATAATTTCTTTTCCCTACCCCCAACATCTTCTTCCATAGCAAAACAGGCGATGTAGTTCCCTTTGGACTTTGTAACCATTTCAGGAAAGGGATGATTCACTCTTTGGGCAAGAGAGAGAAAAAAAAAAAAAAGAAACAATAATTTCTTTTCCCTACCCCCAACATCTTCTTCCATAGCAAAACAGGCGATGTAATTCCCTTTGGACTTTGTAACCATTTCAGGAAAGGGATGATTCACTCTTTGGGCAAGAGAGAAAAAAAAAAAAAAAACGGCAAGAGAGAGAAAAAAAAAAAAACCCAAAACTTGGCTCTGTTTCTTTTCTATTTGACCTCCTTAAAAGGATCTTTTTGAAGCTGTTAATCTAGGCTACTAAAATAGCAAGCAACTATTCTTTATTAAAGGTCAAAGAGAACTACCAATAGAAAGGAGAGAGTTTGTTTTTTAAAACCCTGGCGCATAATTGTTCCACTTAGTCCTAAACTAAGAAAAAT